TCACTGGCTGAGCGTGGTGCTGACAACACCAAATCAAGGGTTAAGATCCCCTTACTGGTCATCTTTTAAAAAAAAAAAAAAAAAGAGATGCAGTTTAGGGCCGGCCCGTGGCTCACTTGGGAGAGTGCGGTGCTGATAACACCAAGGCCCCGGGTTCGGATCCCACATAGGGATGGCCGGTTCGCTCACTGGCTGAGCGTGGTGCTGACAACACCAAATCAAGGGTTAAGATCCCCTTACTGGTCATCTTTTAAAAAAAAAAAAAAAAAAAAAAAGAGATGCAGTTTAGGAGGAAAATGCTGATGAGTGGGGTTTGGCCCCACTGAGGGGAGCGGGGTAGGACACGGCTGGCCCAACTCTACAGGAAGATTCCTAAGGGGGTGGGTCTGTGCTTTGGGGACATGGAGTGGAGACCAGGCAATCTGGGGGTCCTCAGCTCTGGGGTGAGAGAAGCTTCCATAAGAGTGGATTCAGGTGCAGAGAGGCACCATCCACAGGCACAGGAACAGCCCGAATCTCAGTGGTCATGAAGCGCAGGAGGAGGTGGGGGAACCCCAGGCTCAGCAGGGAAAGCCCATGGGTCCTGGGGTCTTGCAGGAGAGCCCTGTGATGAGAGGAGCAGGAAGAGTTCAGCATGAGAAGACCACCCGTCCACTGCCTCTCTTTCCAGCTCCTTTTTATTCTCTAAAGTGTCCTCATCTCACCAGATTCTGTCCTCCTTTCCTTCCTGCCCACACCTTTTCCCCTCTGGACACAAGATGATGCATGTCCTGGATGGGAGCTCTAGGGCTCTAATCTCTGCCCCTTCCTAAGAGTTGGACCCTAGGAGAGACTCAGGCATGCAGGTCTGGTCTTAGATGGAGGGAATGAATATCTGTAAACGTGTGTGTATTGGTCTGTCTGTGTGCACACCCGAGAATGAGTTATGGAAGGTGCCTGAGGCTACAGCCTCAAACTCAGGCAACCAGCTGTGGTGGGTGGACATGCACCAGGGGTATGAGTTTGAAGGTCCAAGAAAATGGCAGCTTGTAACACCCAAATGAGGGTGCAGAGACAAACAGGATAAGGTTCAAATTGGTGTAAGTTCCAACCGATACAATGCCACCTGTGTCATCTCTGGCTACTTCTTTCCTGCAGCCCCTCCCTCCCAGGAGAGAAGTCGCCCATGCCCCATTTCCCCACAAGCCAAACCCAGGTCCTACTCACCTGTGCTGAACATCTCAGGAATGTGAGGAGGGCTGCCAGCACCAGGCCTTTGGTCACAGGGAGGCCACACAACAGAAGCAGCAGGAAACTGCTGGCAGGCAGATGGGAAGGAAGAAAGAAGTTTGGTCCCACTGAGGGACAAGGGAGGGAGGGTCTGGGCTGGGGGAAGCAGCCCCCAAACCCAGCGTGGGACCACAGCATGTATGCATGCAGCACCCAGTCAGAACTAGCTAGAAAGGCACGGTGGTTTGGGGCAAGACCCAGGGGCCTCCTGGAACAAGATCATGGGAACCCAGGCACCCAGTGGGGAGGGAGAGGTTGGCCAGGAAAAAAGATATGACCAGAGTTGTCATTTCTCTGGGTGACACTGCTAGGGAGCCCACAGCACAAGTTCTATTGGATGGGGAGCAGAGAGCCACTGGGGCCAAAGGTATAAGCAGCCTTATTGGGGTTCAGGGGAAGACTCTTTGGATCAGCAATAGGCAAACCTGGGTGGGGGCTACAGAGGTGCATGTGGAGAACCTGAGACCACCTGAGCAGCACCAGGCCAGGAGACTGCAGGCCTTGATCCTAGTCCTGGTCCAGCCCTGAAATAGCTGAGTGACTTTGGACAGGCCACTTGCTTTCTCTAGGCCTCCTTTCCCTCAGTTGTGAAATCAGCACTGACAGATACTCCCTTTCCTCCATGCTGGGCTCCATCCAGTTTAGAGTTACCCTGTCACTCCTGCCCAGCCCAGCTCTGGACTGAGTCCTGGGGACCCCCTTCAAACTCCTGTACCTCCCTGGCCTCCCCATTCCCGCATCAGAGACCAGCCCTCCCTTCTGGGGAGACCCCAGACCTACCTGGGCTCAGGGCTGCTGGCGGAGGCTGGACTGGCCCTCTCTGGAAAAGTAAGTGCAGCTGAGGACAGGACAGAGAAGGCAAGGGCAGCCCTGGTCCCCAGGAGGGAAAGGGGGAGGGGCCAGACCAGCCCTGGGGTCCCTCAGGCCAGGGCTGACTGGGGCCCCAAGGGGAGGGAGCTTCTCCTGGAGCTGGTGGAAAGCGGAAGAGAGAGAATCCTGATACTGAGTCACCCCCAAGGGCAGGGAGACCTCAGGATGGCTCCTGTGGAGATACCACAGGCCATTTATCCCAGGAACCCAGATCTGATCCTGTCAGCAACTCAGACCTCAAATCACAGAGTCCTGAGCCCCTTCTGGTCTTGCCTTAAACTCAGGTCCAGAAAGAACAACCATCCTGTCCAGCCTGGGGGGATCTGGACCCCAGGCACTCGCACAGATACCATGTGCTTATAGAGGGTGGACAGTTCTGAAGGGGAGGTTGTTCTGTGCCAGCATGTGGCCTGGGGCTTGACACCCAGTGGGCCCCGAGTGTGCCTTCTACCTGTTGGGGCCAGGACACGCAGGATCCAGGACATGGGGGTGACAGCCTGAATCTGAGGACTGGAGACCCAAGAGCCCCACAGCCATTGTGGGAGGAAGCAGAGAGCTGGTGGGGTCTGCGGAGGAGGCAAGAGAAGGGAGTGACCAGTTTTATTTCCCTGGACACCCAGGAAGGTGCCTTCCCTTGGCAAAGAGCTCACCTGAAGTCACCATCAGTTGGACCTTTTTGAGAATAATGACACTCTTCCTGGAATCATCAAATATTCCACACCAGTAGTGTCCTGTGTCCTTTGTCCTGACTTCAGTCATGGTAATGATGAAGAAGCCAGCATCAGGGTTGTCCCAGATAAAACATGGAGGGCTCTTAGCCATTACGTGAGGTCTGGAGCTGGTGACTAACCTGGAACAACGATGTGTTTCCGCTTCCTTACACCAGGTTTTATTCTCATACTCACCTTTCTGGGGAGGGGCCTGGCATTTCACAGAGGCCACCTGCCTCTGCACTGCTCACACCACCTCACTGTCTTGGATCTGTGCCCAGGAACCCAGGAAACAAGCCGTCAGTTCAGCCTAAGGAGTAAGGCACAACCGCAGTCAGCACCTGACCCCAGACGGCCCTCCAGCCCCAGCACCACACCTGCTCTCTGTCCCACCTGGGCTCAGAGACCACTCCCCATCTCTCCTCACCTCCACCTTCCCTACCCCCCACCCTCCGCCCTTGCCCTGGTCCCTGGATCTACTCCCCTCCCTCTGCCCCTCACCTGAGGCCAGGAGCAGAGACCCAGCAGCAGATGTGGGGCCTCTGATGCCATGTTGCTCTCTCCCTGTGCTGGGGTGTGTGCAGTGGGGAGTACAGGGTGGTTCTGGGACAGACAGCTCAGCAGCTTGGCCTGACTCTGCTCAGATGCTCCAGCATAGGGAAGGGGAAGACTGAGAAGGGAAAGGTCCTTGACTGGGTAAGTGTGAGGTCTGCAGGGCAGACTCTGTGGGCAGAGGGGAAGGTGGAGCATGGCTGCCCTGCAGGGGCCTCAGCCCTGGCCACCCAGCTCCCCAGTCCAGCCCAGCCCCAGCCCCCACCCAGCAAGTACCAGGTGAAAGTCCCGGGAGGAAGCTAGGATGGAAATAACAGGCTGCCCTGCTTCTCCCAATCTCTCTTCCTTCTGCTTCATCCTTCCAGACCCCGGCTTCCTCTGCCCACCTCCAACACCCCAGGAAACGACAGGCTGAAAGCAGGTCAGGGTTCAGGGGAGTGTTTGAGGCCTAGCAGGCCCTTAAGCTGTCTGGTCCCCTGGAAGAACAGAGACCTCCTGGCTGGGAGAGTGCACGGTTGAAATGACACAGGGCACACCTACAGCCAGACTCTCACAGCCCCTGAGAATTTCAGATGGCGTGAGCCTGGATTCATTATAACACATAGGAACCAGAGTAAAGCGTTCCCAGGCCAGCCACCCACAGTCAGCTGCCCGCCTACCACTGCTCTCTACACTCTTCTAGAGCACACCCCAAGAAGTATAGCACAGCAGGCATCACCAAAATGCCTAATACCACATTATTTCATGTTTAATGGTCTCTTTAGTGCATAGGTTTGTATGCAGCACACACGGACTGTATATAGTACTGCATACAAATCACATTTCCCTTTCATGCTTTAACGAACATGAACTGTGATGTAAATAAACATAAAATAATGAGTTAAAGCCACTAAGGAGCTTATCTAAACTGGACCTGGGTTGGTTGTGTCCCCAGGTGCCTGGCAGAGCTAAACGGTGGGAGCTCCAAAACCTTATGCCATTGAGAGAGCAGCTGAAACACCACAGCCACCAACCCTCCACTCATAGCACCTTGACAGTCTTCCTTGGTACACAAGGACGTTTGTCACAGTGGGTTTTTTCAATCAGCGTGTTTTGGGTAAACTCTGTGCAGGTCATAGGAGTGAATGGATAGTTTGAGTGCAGATTGTGAGAGAAGTCTGCATTTTCCATTTTGAGAGGTTATGCAGGAGCTAGGAGATTCAAGGAGAGAGGAGAGGGGATTTCAATTTTATGGAAACAAGGCAGAAGAGAAGGGACCTCAGGAAAAAGCATAAAAACACATTTGCACAGTTTACAAAGACTGGTCACAGGAGTATCTAACTCTGTAATTCCCAAATATGTCTGCACCCTAGAATCACCTGAGGATTTTTTTTAAGTGTTGACAATTTTATTTTCACATTTCACAATACAAATGAAAATTGCACTTTTTTTGTCCCACTTCTCTCCAAAACTATTCTCTCTTTAATAGGAAAGGGGAGCAAGTCTTCCGTGTCACGCTGTTAGAAAACACCCATAGTCACAGCACCATGATCTCCTGATGAAGTACAAGTAATATGAAACTAATATAAAGAAGCTTCCTCTCTATTCTTAGCTGTCCAGTCATGTCATTCCTGGCCGAGTGGGCACCATCATGGGACGGACAGGAGGTCTCATCATTGGAGAACCAGGCATCATTGCCACGTGGCCTCCCACGGGGGGCCTCATTCCAGGAGCAGGTCCCACTGGCATCATCCCAGGAGGAGGAGGGCCCATGGTTGGCATCATGAGAGGACCCCCCACATGAGGTGCTGGCATCATACCAGGGCAAGGAGCACCCGGGAGACTGGGAGGAGGTGGGATCATTGCCCCTGCAGGAGGAAGAGCAGAGAATGGAGTAGGAGGTAGATTTCCCTGCTGAAATGCAGCCGTTGTTTCGTCAGTCAGGCTCTGAGCCTACTCTTCTGTCCGTTCCTTATAGCAGTCTTTCACATTCTCTTTGTGTTCCCTACCACTGCAGTGTGTCTTTCTCACAGATGGAGAGTCGTGGGTGAGGTATGTATCGCAGTAGTCACAATAAAACTTGGGCATGTTGCTCTGCAGGTCATTGTCCACTCAGCCCAGGCCACGCCCAGATCGATTAAATGAGGCTCACTGAGGTGGGACGAGGTGATACCAGGTGCAGACGAGTCTGGGAATGACTGGTCTAATTTAATTTCCACGGTATCCTTGTGAAGCGGTCACCTCTATTCCCTTTCACAGTGAGAAAACTGAGGCACAAGAGTTTTGCCAATTCCTCTCCGGTTCCCCAGTGAATTAGTGGCATCAGGAGCCCAGGCCTCCCTGTCCGCCCTCAGGAGCTCTGAAGAGGGGGCATCCGCAGAAGCACAGCTGAGCTCAGGCCTCTGAGCACACACCCAGGTGATAGACAGGCCGCTCCTAATTAGTGGCATCAGGAGCCCAGGCCTCCCTGTCCTCCCTCAGGAGCTCTGAAGAGGGGGGCATCTGCAGAAGCACAGCTGAGCTCAGGCCTCTGAGCACACACCCAGGTGATAGACAGGCCGCTCCTGTCCCCTGCTGGCCAGAGGGTGCTATTACCGCAAGCGTGCAGGTGCAGTGCAACAGTTCTGCAGTTTCTCCCAGATTCTTCCTTTGTCTCCTGTCTGCACTGTCCCAAGAGCACTTTCTTCCACTATCCACCCCCTGTGGCCCTCCATCCTTCTGGAGCGTGCAGGTGCAGTGCAACAGTTCTGCAGTTTCTCCCAGATTCTTCCTTTGTCTCCTCTCTGCACTGTCCCAAGAGCACTTTCTTCCACTATCCACCCCCTGTGGCCCTCCATCCTTCTGATTTCTCTTTGCTATGTAACAAGGGGCTCCTCCCTTCCAGGCAGACAATGAGCACCTGTGCTGCGGTCTCCCCACTAGTGTCCGTGACGTGAACACCCTCCATGCAGAGCTGGGTCTCAGACCCCTCAAGGGTGCAGACTCTGCTCTCCATCTGGGCCTTTGGGCCTGTCAGGAGCTCAGCTGGATGCCCAAGAATAGAAGCAGCAGAGAAGGGGCACCTAACCAGTCTTTGTCCCCAGTCCTGAGAAGGGTTGCCTCTTCACAGGCGTGGCTCCCCCAGCAGGAGCTTGGGGCACATGGCTGTGTGGGAACTGGGCTCTGGGAAGTGCCCAGGAAATGAGGGACTAGAGGTCACTTTCATGGAATAGCAATGCACGTGGCCCTTTCCATGAGGAAACAGCCCTGGGTGACCCCTGGTTGCCTCTGGATTCCCACTCTGTTGACTTTTCTAGAGAATACCTGTACCTTCTTCTCCTGACCCCAAGATTCAGGACATGAGAAGAATCTGAGAGAAGCTGAGACCACAATAGTCTCAGGAGGGGAGTAAGGAAAGGCAGCTCTACCCGCCCAGTCTCCACATGGCTGCAGGGCAAAAGGGACTCAGTTTCCCTGTTTGTAAAATAGGAACATTGCATCCTCTCTCCCACCAAGTCCCTCAGGTGAATAGCTCTGAGTAGACTTCCAGTGGCCTTCCCTTAGATGATTTTTCCTGGATCTTCCTAACTGGAGCCCTTTGCTGTGGGTCTCCTGCAGAGGATACCGCCAGCCCAGGAGAATGCCCAGTGATGGGTGTCTCCAAACTAAGTGGGCCTGAGCTCCTTTGTCATGCCTCCTTCCACTCCCCAGACACCCATACACACGCACGCGTGCACACACACAGACACACGCACGCACGGTCAGGCTGATCAGGCTGGGGCCCTGATTGAGTTGGGGTTTTTTGCACTTCTCCACACACTCTCTAACGCTTGGCCAGAGTCAGGTACAGACGGTGCAGCCCACATCATAGGTGAAGACCCTAGATGGAGGGAGCATGGGGGATGGCACTGGCTGTCATCAAGATAGAAGGGGATGAAGATTTGGGCAGAGGAGACTGGGACTCCAGAAGCTGGAAAAGATCTGGAGGGTTTGGTGACAAAGGAAATCATGGATTTGAAAGCCATTTATCACTTTCAAGTTCTACACAAATTTGGCACAGACATAAAACTCTAGTACAATTGACTCAAATTTCATGTTTATCTAAATTTTACAATATTCT